TCAACCTCTGTGGGCGCCATATTGAATTTCAAGATGTCAGCCGTTCAGGATACGCTAAACTATGTATTTCTGTTTTTACAGTTGCATATTTCATTCCAATGCATCAATATACATAATCCGGGTTACGAAAATCATTTGTGATAGTTTTCGAAGTTTATTACAATGAAAAAGACAAGCAAAAGCATTACCCTGGAAAATTAACATACAAATTTTCCGAACTCCCAAAACTTAAAAAAAAATTCTGAACATTCAGCTATTGAGGCCGAATCTCTGTAGATATATGGCCTTAACAGGGAGATATAAGGGAGATAGCTGTCCCATGGAAGGAATCTTGTGCTGTGGCGGAGCTGGGATTGTGATCAGTGTTATCTACAGCAGCTGTAGTGAAAACTCCTTCACGGAGGTTTGGTGGGCAGACCATCTTCTCCTGTCGAAATCGTTCACAGACACTATTGCCCATTTCTGCAGAGATTCTGAGAACTCGGTCATACGAGATGTTCATACCTAAACCAGCCATGGTGTCTACCATCTCTCTTTTTCTGGTGTGAGAGTGAATCACCATACCGACATATATCGGTAACAGCGTTTCTTGCTTGACTCTGTGCCTAACATTGGCAACACCATGTGGTTCTTTCCTACTATGCTTGACACTGTTATATTTGAGCAGCTGAGCTATGGTTAAGGATGCTGCAGAACGTTGTCGTGGCGAGTCGATGCTAGGTCCTTCAAGAATCATTGAAACCAGTGTCATGAGGAGGGTTGAGACACTGTTCTCTTGGCATTTGTCAGAAAAGGATCCAGTGAATCCTTGCCCTTCTGTGAACATATCCCTTCTCACAATTTGTGCAGCTCGTAACAGATGTACAGCATCATTGTCGTGATCATATTCGCATGCCTTTGCTAGAGCGTCTCCTTTGTCATCTTCGAAGGCCAGGATAATGTCACGTCCCATGTTATGTTCCTGCATATTTGGGAACTGGGCTAATATGCGTTCCTTTAGTCGGGTGCTGTGGACTCGTTGGTTCAGCTTTATGCCATGTTCTTTCATTCTCTGAGTATAGAGCTTGACCAAGTCTGACAACTTGAAAACAGGTGCACTGATTTTATCATCAGTGGTGCCTTCTATGTATGAAACTAACTCAGCTAACACCACTGATGACACGACTATCTCATAGGTTGTACCCCGTTTTTCAGTTTCTGATACAGCTCTGGCGCTGTTGTATAGGAATGTCAGACATCTTTTGTGATACTTGGCTTCCCTGGCCATCATGTCGCCTTCACTCAGTTGGGCCAGCAGCGCTGTGTCTTCCAATAGCTCTGCAGCTTGGCGCACATGTTTGTCCATTCCAAGAGTCTGTACCTGGTGATACTGTTGTCCAAGATCCTGGTGGCAGAAAAAGCACAGTGCATTTCTCATGCTGTCTACACTTGTGGTGTTAGATCTGGTACTCTTTGTTGAGCTTGCTGAAGTGCCAGAACCAGCCTCCTGGCCTGAAGACTCCTTTCACTTCTGAGCGCGTTGCAGCTTCAAGTTGTCATATCTAACTCGACAGGATTTATGCCATTTCGCTTGGCGTGTGGTCAGCGTACGTTCGATGCCTTCACCTTCATCAAGACCTTCAATGTTCACACCAACAACTTCTCCCAGTTCATTGAAAGCCAATATATTGTCAGCAAGTGATTTGTATCCTGCCCCACCATCATGCCTTTTTGATGCAGCCGGGCATATTAGTGGCTCTGATTTCCTATCTTGACATGTCACACAGAGTTCCCAGTTGACTGATGCTGGTTGACTGATGCTGGGGTTCTTGGGGTGTCTAGACTGCTCACATCAACGAGCTTGAACTCCTTCGATATGACTGTTACCGCTAAGTTGACTGGCTTGAAGCACACAGTTGTTCATAAACTCAATAGTACACCTGAAACAATAGAAACAAACTAATTACAATTATTATGTTACAATAGCATATTAAGCACATTAATTATATAGCACAATAGCACATTAATTATTATGTCACAATAGCACATTAAGTAAAAAATATATTTTGGGCGGCCGCCCCTGATTTATAGCTGCCACTCAAATCCAGTATCGAGTGGTTCCATATCTGAAAATGTACATATACCACGACTCCATTGCTGTGCCAAATTTGGTGCTTTCATCATTAAATGCACAATTGTTATGAAAATTGTAGCTATGCCGCTCCACTATTAGCGCGAATGTCTGGTGAAGTATTTATTTGTTTATTTATGTTTAAATCAGTTTTTGTTTTTTGCTCATGAAATTTCATAGAAGTAACCTGGGAGAATATAATTTACATTGCTGGAATTCCCACAAGACAGCGATTAATTTGAATATAAACAAGCTATAATTTGCATTAGACATACAAATTTTAGATCTAATTTAAGAATTTTATTAGAGAGAGCAAAATTTTTATCTTTTGTGCAAAATATATGACGTTTATATTCAAATTATCCTCTGTCTTGCAAGGATTCCAGCAATGCAAATTATATTCCCCCAACTTTAGTCTGTGATTTTATATAAGATACAAACTTAAAGCCTACTGTATAACCAGAAACCTTCGCTGGGAGGAGGGAGGGAGGAGTGACTGACATGTTTGACAGTTGGCGCCTGTGGTGTGAAGTATTTAATTGTTAATTTATGTCCTTTAGGTTGAGTTTTTGTTTTTTGCTTTTAAAATTTAATAGAAGTGACCGGGGTGAGGGAGGTGTCGGTTTTGGTGTGAGGGAGGTGTTGGTGTTGCTGTGAGGGAAGTGTTGGTGGTGGTTTGAGGGAGGTGTTGGTGGTGGTGTGAAGGAGGTGTTGGTGGTGGTGTGAGGGAAGTGTTGGTGGTGATGTGAGGGAGGTGTCGGTGGTGGTTTGAGGGAGGTGTGGATTGGTGGTATGAGGGAGGTGTTGGTGGTGATGTGAGGAAGTTGGGAGGAGGTGTCGAAGGTTGAGGTTAAGAATGGTGTGTGAGGAGGTGCTGTGGTGTTGGTGAAGGAGTGAAGGATGTTGGTGTTGGTGAGGGAGGTGTTGGTTGGGGAGGGAGGTGTGGTGGTGGGTGTGGGGTGTGGTGAGGGAGGTGTTGGTGGTGGGGTGAGGATGTATTGGTGGTGGTGCAGGGTGGATGGACAGTGGTGGAGGGAGGTGTTGGTGGTGGTGTGTGAGGGAGGTGTTGGTGTTGGTGTGAGGGAGGTTGGTGTGAGGGAGGTGTTGGTGTTGGTGTGAGGGAGGGAGGTGGTGGTGTGAGGGAGGTGTTGGTGTTGGTGTGAAGGAAGTGTTGGTGGTGGTGTGAGGGTTTTTTTTTTTTTTTTTCCAATGGGCCACGGACGTATATGCGATCGTACGTTGTTCGGTTGGACGTTAACCGGCGCACGACTGGACATATAAAGCACTGTATATCGGTAATAGAATTAACAATACATTAAATATAAACTAAATACAGTACTGTACTGTCCAGTATACTGTACAATAATAAATATATAACAATAGAATACTGTATTTTAACTTACTGTGAGGTGTGTATGTTGTATTCCCGGCAGCTTTGTTTACATATCAAACAGCTGATTGTAGAGGCAGTCGATGATAACATGCCCTATTCTTTACAGCGTGCATTGGTTCTAATGCCTTCTTCGTGTTTCATAATAATTTCTGCATTGTATATTATCGATATGTTAACTAAATTTCAGGATGACCAATAAATTTAATGTAAAAATGCAAAAATATTCAAGAAACCAACAAACTGGATGTTCACTCCACTGTAAACAAAGTTAAAGTGAGAAGCGTTGTTGGGTGATTCAGTCAGCTGTAAAACTGTTCCCTGTACTGTATTTGTTATCAATATGTTAACTAAATTTTAGAATGACCAATAATTTTAATAAAAATTTCAGAAATATTCAAGAGAAAAACTTTCTTGACATTTACTCCACTGGAAATGAATGTAAACATAGAACTGATTACTGTATTGGCAGACTAGTCGATCAGCTGATCAGCTGATGCGCACAAAAAACGTGTTTGTTGTAAGGATTTCGTTAATCGAACTGAAAATCCTTATGGGAGCTAATCCATTGACCGAAATTTAATTAATCGAACCGTTCGTTAACCGAGGGCCCACTGTATTTTGAAATGTTTCATATTTCAAAATTTTACCAAATAAGTCACAATTTGTTTTATATATTTCGTAAGCAAAACAATACAAATTATTAGCGATTTCAAATTTTAGGTGTATGAATTATGTTTTTTTCTGTAATATTGTTTTTATATTATGTATTCAGTAATTCAGTAATATTTCCGTTAGCCAGAATCCCTTAAACCCGGAACTCTCTGCTAGCCGGAATTGAAATTTTCTTAGAAAATCGTTCCCAAAGCCGGAATTTTCCGGAAAATTCCGGCTTTGGGAACAATTTTCAGGGATGGGGGAATTTTTTCCGGGTTTGAAAGATGAAAATCAGGCGCTTTTTCTGGAAATTCTGAAAATAAATTCCATTACCCGGAAAATTCCAGAAAATTTCGGGGATGAGGGATTTTTTTCTGGGTTCGAGAGATGATGTAATGGGCAATTTCTGGAACTTCTGAGAAAATTTTTCCGTTACCCGAAAAACTCCTGGGATGAGAGATTTTTTTCCGCCTTTGAGAGAGTCGTCTCGTTACCCGGAAATCTCTCATCCCCGGAAGTGCTCTGCACCAATTGTTCCGGCTAACAGGGATATCACTAATATTTGTATAATTTTTTTTAAGTAAAATAAAGGTAATGCCTTTTTTGGTTCATTATTGCCTATTTTTGCTGTTTGTCTTTCTTATTTTCCTGCCTTTTTTAGTGAGATTAAATACCTAAACATCTGGGCTCAAGGTATGACTAATATGAGCTATCAGTCTATCAGTATTTTAACTGAACCATTGTGGGAGAGGCATACAAAAGTGTAAAAAAAAATTAAGAGAACAAATTTGATTTAATTTTTTTAATGGTTATTTCATTCATGAATGTAAGCAATCATTACAGGTGATTGGCGATATGCTCTACGTCATGTCCCAAACAGAAAACTGCGACCCCAGCCAACTGGAGAAGAAGTTGAGGACTTAATCCGCAGGAGACTCGAGAAACAAAGAAAACACAGATCATACTCTTCCAATTATAAACCCAGGTACAGTAAACACTCCCTTATTAAATGAGTAGTATAGGTCAGTATAGTGAGGTGAGTCACCTTTACAACTACAGTAAAAAAAACCCAAGTACCAGACTATTTAAGCCACTGCAATGTTAATCTGAAGGGATCCCTTATTCAGAAGGCCATATCAGCCAGCATATTGTACTAACACAGTTTGGCTCATAATAAATTAGCTCAAGTATAATAAAAAATATGATATACTTTCAGTAAATTCAGTTGTTTTTATTTAAAGTGTTAATATATGTAGAAAAGGTTCTAAATGCCTTCAGACCCGCAGAGAAGATTTTAGAAGGTTGTTGAGACCTGACATATGTGCATGTGGCATGGATGGCTTTGTGCAGCGTGAGATAAAGTGGATGATGTGGATGTGTACAGTATATCTCTAATGAAGGATTGGAAGCTATTTCATCTTATTCATTGTTAAATCTCCATATGACTTCATTGGCAATGAGGTGGATATGTTCATAAAATGCACTTAATTCTTGGGAACTTTGTTGCCATAGGGAGGTTTAACAATGGGTAAAATGGAATACAGTGATATCCCCATTAGCCGGAAGAAATGGTACAGAGCATTTCCGGGGATGAGAGATTTCTGGTTAACCAGACGACTTTCTCAAATGAGGAAAAATCCCCCATCCCCAGAAAATTTTCCCGTTACTGGGAAAGGTTCCGAGTTCTGATTGTCTAAACTACGCATCTTGCAGACAGATAGACACTAGCCCACATCCTCAGAATGTTTCTGGGTGCTGGGAAAAGTTTTCCAAGAGTCTAAACTACCTGAGTCTATAAAAACATTTCTAATTAAGTTAGAAACTCCATTTCTTCACTAAAATAATGCAGAATAGTTTTAAAAGATTGGTTGAATAAATATATTTTCCACTCATGGAGCTGTGGGGGATTAGTGGGTCTCATGTAACTGACCTGACCTGACACAATACCAGGTGGAGGTAGGGTGGGGGACTAGTGGTCTCGTGTTACTGACCCTCTGATGCAATGTCAGGTCACTCATTGTTGGATGGGGGATCAGGGCTTGAAGATGTCTTGAATAAAGACGAATGCTAAAACTCAGTGTTTTTAGGGAGATTGTGATAAGTGTAAGTATAAATGACCAACGGTGTACAGTATTCCTTCAACATTACGCTGCATAACATTTTAAAATATGGAGTGAGAAAACCGAAGGTGTGGGTGATTAGAGAGGAGTGGAAGAGAGTGTAGCGCACCAGTGTTGCCAAGCGCTCCGCTCCTCAACAGCTGATCTTTTAATTCGTCTCCACGCAGTCACATACTTGTGCATCAGTTGACCACGCATAAATTTGACATACAGCGGTCCCTCAGTTAACGAGCACCTCGGTTAACGAGATTTCGGTTAACGATTTACCTTCCATAAGATTCTTAACTTCGGTTAACGAGCAATCCCTCGATTAACGAGTTATTTATGAGCCGACTTCAACAAGTTTTCGCTTTCATTTGACGGTCCACCAGCTGTAGTATTAGTCCGTCAATACAGTAATCGGTTTTAGGGCTTAAATTCCTTACTATTTTAGTAAATATCAAGAAGTTTATACTATTCAATAATTTTAAAAGTTTAATATTAAATTTTTTAGTCATTTTAACAATTATTGAACATAATTGAAGGTAAAGAAACTAGTTTCTGGCGTGCCATCCAGCCTGTTAACACACCAGACAGGCGTTTGTCTCTCTGTTTTCAGTGGAGGCAACATCTTGCTTGAGACTCTCTTCAACTAAATGCTTTTTTCTGTGTTTCCAAGCAAATTATTGGTCATTTTGAAATTTATTTTACAAATTGACAATATATAGCGCAACGCAGTGTTATTTTAAAGAAAATATTCTTTATTTACAGCTACAGTAGTTTAAACTTAAAAGATCACATGTTGACATTGTTTGAATCCAGCATGGGGCCTAAGAGATCAAGAAAAGCGATTTCAATCCAAACCAAGCAGGAAATCATTAAGAAACATGAAGAAGGCATTAGAACAAATGCGCTATGCAAAGAATATGACATGTCGACATCAACTGTGTCGACAATTCTTGCACAGAATGACAAATTTAAAGAAGTGAAAGTGAGAGACAAATCTACCAGAGTGTTTAAAAGTAGATCCCTAATTGCAGAAAAAACTGAGAGGTTACTTCTCATCTGGAATAGGGAAAAACAGATGAAAGGTAATTCAGTTTCTACTGAATTCATTTGTGAAAGAGCCAGGGAGATTTACGAACATTTAAAGACAGATCAACCTGGTTCTTCAGGCACAGAATTTTAAGATTTTTGGGCCAGCAAAGGCTGGTTCGAAAAATTTAAGAAAAGAAGTGACATTTTCAGTGTTATTAGGCATGGTGAGGCTGCTAGTGCTGATAAAGAAGGGGCAGCAAAGTTTTTAGTGGAATTCAAAGAACTGATGGAAGAAGAAAATTATCTTCCACAGCAAGTGTTCAATGTGGACGAAACTGGGCTGTTCTGGAAAAAGATGCTCAAAAGAACATTCATCACCAAAGATGAAGCCTCTTTACCTGGGCATAAACCCATGAAAGACCGTCTCACTCTATTGCTTGGTGCCAGTGCTTCAGGGGATTTCCGACTGAAGCCTATGCTTGTCTACCACTCTGAAAACCCCTGGGTGTTCAAGCAACAGAAAGTGGTAAGAGCAAAGCTTGGAGTTTATTGGAAGTCCAACCGTAAGGCATGGGTGACAAGACAGCTCTTTAATGAATGGGCTGTTGAGGTGTTTTGCCCTTCTGTCAAGAGCTACCTAACTACCAATAAACTCCCTTTAAAGGCTTTTCTCCTCATGGATAATGCTCCTGGTCATGACCCTGAACTTGCCAGAAATTTGGAGTATCAATTTGACTTTGTGAAAGTGTTGTTTTTGCCTCCCAACACTACATCAATCATACAGCCAATGGACCAGAATGTGATCAGCAACTTCAAGAAGTTGTACATGAAGAAAATGTTTAGGAGGTGTCATCAGGCAACTTCCACTGATCCTGAACTAACACTGAAACATTTCTGGAAGACACAATTCAACATCCTGGAGGCTGTAAAATTGATTGTGTCATCATGGCAAGAAGTCTCCACTAGATCCCTCAATTCTTCATGGAAAGCACTGTGGCCATCAGTAGTCCATGATTTTGAGGGATTTGAGGATGACCCAGAGTTGGACCAGGAGATTGTGTCCATTGGTCAGTCATTGGGCCTTAAAGTGGAAGAGGATGATGTGGAAGAGCTTGTGATGTCTCATGAGGAGGAACTTACTCCTGTTGACTTGAAGCAACTGGATGAGATGTTAAAGGCTGACAATGGTGAGGAGGAAATGGAAAGTGATGACCATATGTCAACTAAAGAGTTGAAAGATGTGATTTACCACTGGGATAAGTTCAGGGAACTGGCTTCAAAGCACCCAGATGTGGAAAAATCTGAACTAACTTTGTGTCATGTTGAGGACACAATGGTCTCCTTCTTTAAACATAAGTTAATGGTGAGGAGGAGAGATGCCCCACAGACCACAATTGACACTTTCTTCAGTAAAAGGCAGAGGGAACAAGATGCTATCCCTCAGCATTCCACTTCAAGAAGGAGAGAGGATGATGCTAGCCCTCAGCCTTCCACTTCAAGAAGGAGAGAGGATATTCATGGTGGAGAATCTGTCCGTCCAGAGGTTCCTGACATTTTCATGGAAGGTGACTCACCTTCCAAGAAGCAGTAAAATGCTTCTCCTCCACCTCCACTTCCTTCTCTTCTCCCTTCTCCTCCTCCACCTTCCACTTCAAATTCACATCAGCATCATCATCCAGGAGCCTTCTACATACACACCTCAAGGTACGTGTCAATTTCTGACATTTTTGTTGAATTTAGGCAATTTTCGGTGAGCTGGAACCAATTACCCAAAAACCCATTGAAACAATGGTTTCGGTTAATGAGATTTTAGGTTAACGAGCAACCTGCTGGAACGGATTGTGCTCGTTAACCGAGGGACCACTGTATCCAGGTTGTCATCCGCGAATAACCGAGAACTGCGAAGTAAAAATCCGCAAACTTGGGGGGACCCCTGTTCTGTCATTAACAATACAATATTTTTTATTTATTATTCATTAATTAATAGCCAACACACACACACACACACTCTACTACTACTACTAGTGCTACTAATGCTACCTTAAAATTAATTATCCTAATACAGTACATAAGTAGCTATCCTAGTAGTGTTGAGTTAGTTGAGCCGCAGATTTATGCGGCATTCAGTGACTGTTGCCCTGTAGTCAATATCTGCAACTGTTGTCGGCTTTGGGGCCGATGCTCTCGTTCCTCTGAGGCAGAGCAAAGCAGACCTAAGGAGAGAGAAGGACAGTCGACATCACATCTAGGCTGTAACATAACTTCTGGGATGTTGCTTCTGTTCTGATAGCACCTCCGCGAGTCTGGCATCTACTGCTACTACTACTTCTACTATTACTACTTTACTGTCACTCAGAATCGAATATAACAATCAGCCAGCTAAGAGACAATGATATGAGTTATTAGGGATGTCACTTAGGTTGGTGAGTTTTGAGGTGACTAAAGGGGCCGATACGGGACCCACAGCGTAGTTCACATTTGTTGCCCATGTGGAGGGCTCCATTTACTGTGGGAGGGGTGGTGGCAGCGTCCTTGCTGTTCTCTGCACTTTTCCTTTATCTGGCGGGCAGCAAAGATCATGTCAGTGGTGCCACGTGATAGTTTAAAACCACTTTGAGATTCTGGGATGAAGTTTTCTGCCTCAGGAAGGAGTCTGTTAAGGAGGACTCGGGCGATAATTTTGCCAGCCACAGAGAGCAGCGAGATCCCACGGTAGTTGCCACAGTCTGACCGGTCTCCCTTGTTCTTATAAATACAGTCAACCCTCACTTTACGCGGTCCCACATTCCGTGTTTCCACGTTTACGTGGTGCCCTGCCAGAACCCAGGATGCTCACATTCCGCGGTGGGTGTACCCCTTTACACGTGTGAAGTATAATTTTTTATTTAGCTCATAAAATTCATACAAATTATCCGGCCAGAATATAATTTACATTGCTGGAATTCTTACAATTTGATGATCATTTTGAATATAAACATCATAGATTTTGCATTAGACATACAAATTTTAGATATAATGTTTACTCTGCGTAAATATGTTATCTTTTGTGCAAAATATATGACATTTATATTCAAAATATTCCTGGTCTTACAAGGAATCCAGCAATGCCAATTATATTATCCTAACTTTAGTCTGATTTATTATTTATTACTAAAAAGGTAAACAGTCTGGTATTCCCACACATTTATCTGGTAGGGACGGTTGGTGGGGGGTGGGGGAGAGGGAGGGACCGGCGACCGACCACCTGGCATGTGTGAAGAATATTTTTTTTTTTTTTATTAACTGAAGATTTTTATTTTAGCTCATAAAATTCATACAAATTACCCGGCCAGAATATAATTTACATTGCTGGAATTCTTACAATTTGATGATCATTTTGAATATAAACATCATATATTTTGCATTAGACATAAAAATTTTAGATACTGTATAATGTTTACTCTGAGTAAATATGTTATCTTTTGTGCAAAATATATGACATTTATATTCAAAATATTCCTGGTTTTACAAGGAATCCAGCAATGTCAATTATATTATCCTAACTTTAATCTGAGGTATTATTTAATACTAAATGTTAAAATCTAGTTTTTTCACCCAACCTTTCTCTTGAAGGGAGGGTTGGTGGGGGGTGGGGGGGAGGGTTGGGACGGACCGACCATCTGGCCAGTTGGAAGAGGGGGGAAGGCAAGGTGGGGTACTTTGATTGACAGATAGTGTCATGAAGAATATTTTTTTTTTTATTAACTGAAGATATTTGCTTTAGCTCATAAAATTCATACAAATTACCCGGCCAGAATATAATTTACATTGCTGGAATTCTTACAATTTGATGATCATTTTGAATATAAACATCATAGATTTTGCATTAGAAATACAAATTTTAGATATAATGTTTACTCTGAGTAAATATGTTATCTTGTGCAAAATATATGACATTTATATTCAAAATATTCTTGGTCTTACAAGGAATCCAGCAATGTCAATTATATTATCCTAACTTTACTTTGAGGTATTATTTATTACTATACCTGGTTTTCCCCCCAAAATTTCTCAGAGAGGGAAGAGCCAACGAGTGTAGTGTGAGAAGAGGGGGAGGGAGTCGAGTCCATTATTTGAATGGACATTAACTTGGCGACTGTATTTCTCTATTTCTCTTAAGTATTAATTGTGTGCATGTAGCATCATAAAATTAAGATGTTATTTTTACTAGAACATAGGTATTGTGCTGGAAAAAGCGGAGTTTGGGGGTCAGCTGGTCTCTATTTCATTTAATCCCATATGTTATGTTATTCAATTTACGCGTTTCTCACTTTCCGTGGTACCCTGTGGGTTACATTAACCGTGTAAAGTGAGGGTTGACATATATATATATATATATATATATATATATATATATATATATATATATATATATATATATATATATATATATATATATATATATATATATATATATATATATATATATATATATATATAATCACAGTGAGATGATTTTATACAGCTCCACAAAATGCACATGATTTGACTTGAGAAGTACAGTAAAATCTAACAAATTAACATAAGGTTGTGGGAAGAAAATTGTGGGGTTTATAGTATGTTAAGCATTATAGACAACATTTTAATAAATTGTTTTAGTTTTAACTTATTGATGTTTTATCAGAGATTGTGACTACAAGGAAAATCATTTTTTTTTTGTTTCATGAACACAATATTTATGACACCATGTATGTTGCATTGCCTACATACTGTATCCTTTATTATTATTTTTTTTACTCTACAGGGAGTATAAGAGGTATTGAATCTGTTCAAGAAAAACTTGATTCCAGGACCAGGTCACAATTCCAAGTGAGGTGGACGACGAGGCTGTGTGAGTTTATTTAAGGTGACAGACATCTCTGACCTGTGAACATGCTGATGTCTTCTCCTGTGATAATTGAAGGCACTTTGCTACTTTTAGTTCCATATACAAAGTTACTTTACATATTGTTGCTCACTTCATTAAATTATATCAAATATGAATTTTGAAATAGAATGTATAAAAAGAAATTGTTTAAATTATTTTGAGTTTTGTTTAAAGTAGTGGAGGACCTTTGCGTAGAAAGGGGGAGTACAGTACAGTGGAATCGAGATAATTCATGAAATACAAATTCGCCGGTACCTCTTTACTGCTATTTTTTTGTATTTTGTGGTCAAATATTCATAATTTGTGACCAAGCAATGGCTGCTGCAGCATTTATTTACATAGGAAACCATAAAAGTGTTAGAAAGATCATTTCAATGTTCTGCTATGGGAAGTAGTGCAGCTGGACTGAGAGGAACAATTCCCTCCACACCATCACCCTGTGTCTCCTCTAGCATGTCAATATGCAATTTCACCATAAATCCTATACTATTTAGGTTCATTTAATGGTAGGTTAATAAAATATTATCATAATATAATAAATTTTTGTGAAAAAATTACTTTCAACCCCAGATGAGTTAATGTGCCATATTAAATTCCCAGTGCTTTGTTTGTGTTGTGTGAACAGCTGATCAGCCCCACCCCCACCACCACTCCACTCCCTTCCAGTGTCGTGCTGCCTGTCTCAATTTTTGACCTATTGGTGTCTGTCACCCAGAGGATGATTATGAGTAGGGAAGAAGCTGTTTATTTAATGTAGAGCTACTTTTTGTACATCTGTGTTTTACTGTATTTCTTTATATATTATTTACAATGTTAAGTGTTTTTTAAACCAGGTTTGAAACAGTTTCTGCATTTTTTTTTGCCCCTGGAACCTAATTATTTCAATTTAACTAATTTAAACTACAATTCGTGGTGTCGTTTGACACCTTATCTGTGAATTATCGAGACTCCACTGTACTGCCCTTTGATAAAAATCTGCTCTCACCTTTTTTCCAACAGTGGTTTAAGTGATTATCATATTTGTTTAGTGGAACAGAGGCTAGATACTGCTTATAAATCCCCACTTTAGAGAGTCCGTAGTCTCTCATAGGTACTGAAAGCTTGCTACCCCCTGATCCTTAAATATCATGGATTTGGTATTTGTTATGACCAGTAGTGAGGTTTGATTCATGTGTTATAAGAAACAAATTACTGTATAAACCAATAAACATATTGTAAATATAACCTTGTCTTTGCACTTTTTATGTGGCTTTATCTGTTTGGGTGTTGTATGTAGTAACCCTTAACCCTACCTGGTGCTGGACGGGGCTTTTTTACTCCCCCCCCCACCCTCAGCTTATTCCTTGGTGCATATTTAACTAAATACATACAGACTTACTTGTATCTCCAAGAAGACTTACGAAAATATGAAAAATAACCTGATTATTTAAGTATCATTGTCCTTTCTGTCCAATGAATTCTTTTTGTTCAACTCAGAATGCGACGCTCAGCATGTTACCTAGGTATGTTAATTCCTAGCTAACTCGCCAGGGCAACATACAGGCAATTAAAACATCTAATAATTACTTAATAAGAAATATTACGAGGACACGTCGCTACCTGGCATTTAATTGCAATTCTCAAAACCCCCTCCTTCACCCCCCATCATACGCATCACGACCTTCATCTTCTTGCTTGGCGATTCAGCTGTAAATACACACAAAAGAAGGCTCCGCGAATTTCTGTTGTAATTGCTGAAATACTAAGTCCCACGAGGATTTTATATCCGGTATTTATACTTATTAGCACAGTGACGAAGTAGAGTGACTATTATTTTGTTTATGTCTCTCAATTATTGTGTTTTGGACAATTTCTAATACGATCTCTGGTCAGCATCATGGCGACCACAACATGTCTTCTTTATGAAGTTGCTAAGATTGTTTGTGACTATTCCTTGCCTTTAAGTCACTCGGTGAATGTCGCTGCGCCCTCCCGGGCTCGTCTTCACTGAAAGAAAATATGTGGATATATATGTTTATATATACATATCTATGTATACTGTTTACGGTTTTCTTTGTCCCGATTATTCACGTGCTAGTATGAATGCCATGACTGTCTCTCTTCCTACTCTTATGTTTGTTCACAAAAAACCTTTGGGTTTCCGCCCTCGGTTTTCTAATTGCTCTCAGCATAAAGGCCAGAGTTGAGTTTTCTCTTCATAACTTTATTTTATTGATGTCCTCAGTAGCGGGTTCAGCCTTCCCAAGCGAACTTTAGCAAGGCTGCTAGACTTAGCGTTCCTTCCGGAATGCTAACCTCCCGGTCTTCCTAGCAATTTAGAGTTATGTTGAAATGGACTTTACATCCTTATATGGGTTATATGAGAACAATTCAGGGTGGAATTCTCAACCCAATAAATATTGCTAGAGTAATAGTGAACGCTGTTGTCAATAGAGCGCTATGTTAGCGGCTCAGCACTGTCAACCCTGCCTGGTGATACTACGCACGTAGGCATTTTCGCTTAAGTTATTACTTGGGGGATAATGTCTGTGCCCCTGATTGGCAACAAATAGAGATCTTGATGATCCCTCTACATAAAATGTTCTAAATGAAATTAGTTATGTAAAAATAATTTCTTTGAGCTAAGGAATACTTGAGATAAGAGTGGGTAGACGGATACAACTAGCGAGTTAATTGTTTATAATTGTCAAACGAGTGACTTATTTAACAATAAGAAATCTTAATGAATTAAGTTACTAATAATATAACAATTATGAGTCATATTAATTAGGTTTTGGAGGAAATGTTTTCTCCCTTATATTTTTATAATAATATGATGTGACTCATGGTGTCCTCCTAGTTTAGATGAGTGATGTGCAACTGGAGGATGAAGGACAAGAGTCTGGGCCTATGGATGATGGGGGAGACTATGGAATTGTCCCTGAGGAGATAGTATTGAGTGATGAGCTACAAGGATTAGAAAGTTCAGCTCAGGCACTACATTCAAGGAATTGTCTGTCAGTAGAGAATTTGAATTCAGTAGTAGTAGTTTCACCTAAGACCTAAGGGGGCCATACTACATGTAATTATGAAAAATGTAGAGCCACTTGGATTACGAAGATAGATCCTCATGTGGTTTGCATAATTTATGGCAGCTGTCTCAAATAACCTATTTTCACCAATGGATTGTGCAGTTTGTTGTGATCAAATTTTTCAATTTCATCAAGCTACAGGTGATAAGAAAGATTTATTGCAAATACATATTAAAAATAGGTGGAATAAGGCCTTGAAGAGTAAATTTTTTAATGTTAAACAATGGAAAGATTCCAAGTTGGCAGAAAGTTTTGGTTTATTGGTGTTAGGTAAGAGACTTACTCCCCACTTAGACAAGCCTGCTTCTGCTAACAAAAATAAGTTATTGGACCCTCCAGACAGCGGGGCAGTAGGAAGTCTACAAAAACCTCTATCTACTCAGTCTGATTTCAGTAGATTCCAGGATCAGGACGATGAGGCTGGTTATAATCATAGTATTCAGTCTCTTGAGCAGAAAGAACCTGTTGAGACTGACTTCATCCTATCCACATTTTGGCAACCACTTCCACCTGGGGCAAAAGTGTTGGTTACTATGAGTGGAAACAGGCTGCTGTCGACTGCCACGCAGCTGCTGGATAACATTGAGTGTAAGGAGGATCCCAACAGGCCATGGATAACATTGGTAAGAGCTAAGCCTTCTTTGTTTTCTACTACATCTGAATCTGTGGATTCCTTATTCAAAGTATTTTATGAAAATGTCTCTAAGCTTCCTGATATCTCAGCAACTACAAAGAGACAGGAAGGACAAGAAACTTTGGGTCATCATTCTTTGTTTTTGGAAGGTGATACTACACTTTCTTGGCCTGATATTTGCCCAAAGATGATCTCTGAAATAGACGAAGTCTGGGCTAATTTATTGAAAGACTTAACATTCATTCCCGCAGACAGGAATGCTCACAAGTTTAGTTTTTTGAAGTTCCAATTTAATGACAAAAAGAGTTCCTTCTATGAACTTTCCCAGTATTTGTCAGCTCCAAAATATGTTGATATAAGTTATGAAAAAAAATTGAAATCAGTTGCCCCTGTACTGCTGCTTGAAGAATTTAAAATTAGGAAATTGGCAGCTGATGTTTGGTCTGCAATTATGATGTGTCATTTATTCACTAAGTTTGTGCTGGACTATGAAGAAAATTCAGAAGTGGACAAATGTTTCGCTGCTGCTTTACAAGGGATCCCATATTTCCTGTACAACTCATTTTTAGATAATTTGTTGAAAGCCCTAAAACTGAAAGCCCAGCTAAGGAAGCAAGCAACAAATAATGCTTCAAGTGGTAGTGCTTATTTATTGCTACGTTCTTCCCCTCTTTCTCCTGCTTTGTTTGATGAACAATCATTGGTTAAATATTCAGTAGATCATCTGTTGAGAATACTATTAATATTAATGTCCCCAGAAGTCCTCAGACCTTTCGGAAATCTAAGAGAGGAAGGTTTTACAGGGGAACAGGACCAGTTGCTCGGTTCAGTTATCAACCTAGAGGAAATTTTAGAGGAGGAAATAATAAAAGACGTAATAGAGGTGGCCGTTTGTTCAGGAGCGGAAGGAGACCTTATTCCACCACATCAGCAACTACTCCCTTCCAATGAAGCCAGACAGCTGGGTCGTCTAGGGGGTTGGGAGAACAGATGGACTTCTTCCATATGGGCTTACAAGACAATCAAAGGGGGCCTCACATGGACTTGGTTGAGGTGCCTTCCCCTAGCATTTCCTAAAAGGGTAAAAAACCAACCCCCTTACTTACAGGATTTGTAATTCAACTACTAAACAGAGGTGTCATAGAACTGTTACAGTCAGAGAAATGTTTCATGTCTCGCTTATTCCCAGTTCCCAAGAAAGGCAGCGACAAATTAAGGTGGATTTTGGATCTTTCAGTCCTCAACAAATTTATTAACAAAAGAAGTTTCAAAATGCCCACTTACGATCACCTGAGGCATCCACCAAATGCTTGGATCTCAAAAGTGGATCTATTATCATGTTCTTGTTGCTCCCAGGTACAGAAAATTTCTGGTGTTCATAGTAGGGGATGTAAGTTATCAATTCACAGTGATGCCATTCGGCCTGACAATTGCGCCAAAAGTCTTTACAAAACTAGCGAACATTCCCAGAAAGATCCTTGCGAAGGAGGGCATAAGAACCTTTGCTTATCTAGACGATTGGCTGATAATGGGAAACTCTTTCGAAGATTGTCAAAGGGCAACCCAACGTACACTAGTACTATTTCAAAACCTGGTCAAATCAAACCAGGTCAAATCAAATTTAATACCATGTCAAAAGTTAGTTTGGTTAGGTCTCCAGTGGGATACAAATCAGCAGTCAGTCAGTTTACCGGAAAAAAAGTATCAGATTTGATAAACCAAGCAGAAGCCTTTTGTATAAAGCACAAGGTTTCTTGGCACGATTGGGAAAAACTTCTGGGTCTGTTGAATTTTGCCACAATAGTGGTTCCATTGGGAAAGTTAAGGAAAAAGCAACTATCTCATCTGGGCTCGAAGTTGCTTCACAGAAACAGAAATGTTGCTTCTTCTCTCCCTATTGAGATAAAGAATCATCTGTTATGGTGGACAAAGTTGGACAATCTAATCGGTTCCTCTCCCTGGGTTCCACCTCAAACAGGTTTGGTCGTTTGTACAGATGCGTCCAAAATAGGATGGGGATACCATTCCTCAAAAGGGGAGTTCAGTCAAGGGAAGTGGAGCAACTTCCTTTGGGACAAACACATAAATATAAAAGAATTAGCAATGGTTCTATTCTTTTTGTCGGCAAACCCAAATTTACAAAATATGACGATCCTGTTTGCCATGGACAACAAAACGGCAGTGTTTTGTCTCAATCATCAAGGCTCAACAAGGTCTTGGCCCCTTCTACAACTGTCAGAAAATTTTTTCAGTATTTGTGTAACACAAACACTTTATCTCAAAGCAACTTATATACCGGGAGTACAAAACAATTGGGCAGATGCGCTGTCCCGTCTCTGGTCATTATTGACAGAAACAGAATGGTCCCTAAAGGTATCAGAGTTCAAGAGTCTAGTGAAGAAGTTTGGAACTCCACAGATAGATCTTTTTGCCACCCTAAAAAATCACAAGATGCCACTTTATGCATCTCTGGAGAGGTCGAATCTTTTAGGAAATGCCCTACTCTTAGATTGGAACCT